ATGACCATGATTACGACCCCCTCCCAACTCTCATCGGAGCAAATACGACCCCCTGTCGAGGATTTCCTCGACCGTTATTCACCCTGCCCCGCGGCATGCCAGGAGTAGGGGAGAAAATTTTTAAATCTTGGTGCCCTGAATAAGAAATACACTAGAGAAACAAGTCTAATAATGGAATCACGAGCGCTTATGCGAAACTCAAGATCATGAATAGTAATGTAAGAAATAAAGCGCTTAAACATAGCCTTGAAAGGCAGGAAAAAGTACACGTCGAGGGGCTGGATCTGGGATGTTGCCCCAGGTGGGATGTTCAGAACTTTCACCGTTTTCCCAGCTGGCATTGCTGATTGTATTACTAGAGGGCAAAAATAGTTGAAGTGGCACGAAAAACTGTTTTGCAAACGTTTAAAAAACGTTTTAACACAGATGCAAAACTAGCACATGCATCAAGGAATCGAACCCTGGTGCTGCTCCTGCGAGCCCGATTGCTTACCGGCTGCGCCACCGAGGCACGACCCTTGGTTGTCGAATGGCATTAAGAAATGGGCCTCAGCGGTGAAACCACCCCCTAACTCTTCTCTCCGAATCGTTTAGCAGATTTGGAAGACAGATTCGAGATCAGCGTTCCAAGACGCATACGTGGGTATACATCTCATCTCGAATGGCCATGGCGACTCGAGGGACTTCCCTTGTAGAACTGGGAAATCTAACGCACCCTCATCCATTACAGCACTTCCACTCTTTCTAACCGTTGGAAGATTGTTGACATAACACTTCCCGAACTTTACGACTCTATTTCTGAGATTTACAATAAGCATAGAAATTCGATCCGTCGCTGAGCACAATTTTCAACCTCTCACCTTTGATTCAGGCCAGCCGTTACCTTGGAAAGGGGCCCTCCATATGGAGGTAATGTTTGTTGTACATGGATTTACTTGCATGCTTCTTGATAATGAAGCTAAATTTGACAAAAAACTTGCAAACAATGAACAGTAGAAATCATGGGGACGGAAACAGAGATTCAAAACTTCTGACGGGTTCTTTCTCTGAAAAAATCGAATATTTGTATTGTGATTTTCGATTTTAGGGAATTACTACTCTGCACTTCGTAGTACACGGTTGATCTTGCGTTAATATGTGGGCTTGAGACAATTTCGTTGTTTATCGGCCGTGCTAAGCCAAAAACAAATTTTTTTCCAAACATTACCGTTACGTAGCAATATTTTGCACTCACTCATTCGATGAAATCGTCAAATATATGCCTTATATTTGTGGTTCTGCGATAGGTTCTACTACAACTACAAGTAAATCTGAGCGAAGGAAAGGAACAATTCTGGGAAACGATAATAGAAAAAAGTTAGATTCACTTCTTTGTGTTTTCTTGACACTGCGACCATTCATACGGCAAAACCATTGTTCATTGCGATGAATAATTTTCTGGAGAGAATGCGATGACACAAATTACAGGGACTGTTAGGAAAGGGCACTCTTGCGTTTAAACGTCAACATCGTCAATGGCCACTTCTTTACCTAGCGTCTTCTTCATTGCCCGCCACCATCAATGCGTTTGGCCCTCGAGCAATAAGGGAACAGCGCATAGTCCGCAAGGACTTCAATGAGAGTATTTCCAAAACCATGGCCTCAACTCAGTCTGAATCGAGTTCGACAGCAGCAGAATTCATTGGTTAAGAAGAAATTGTGCTGTGTAAATATTCATTCTGAAGCAAGCAGATGCACAGCGGTATCAGCCCGCATCAGCACGCAAAAGAAACAAGAAATGTGAAGGAGTGGATAGTCCGCACCGAAAACCAAGGCTTTTTTTTTAAACCCGTGCCCCCAACATTCCCAACTAAGAGACAACTTTTTCTGGTTTTTTTCCTAATCATATGAAAGTCCAAGTGCACGCCAACATCGGCCGCGACCTGGTGAATATTACGGATGATGTCCCAACAAGAAGCCGTTGTTGGGCTTCAAGGGCAGGATGGCCCAACTGGCTTCCGCACTCTAACGGCTAACATGAACCGGAGCCAAGAGGTGAAACTTTGTCCTCAGCGACGAATGAGATTTCTATCTTCCTAGAAATAATATAGTGGACCCTGTGAAGTGTTTTGTCAAATGGGAACCTCATTTTGAGTATGAGATTCCAACAGTCAGAAATAGTGGAAGTACTGTCATGGATGAACATGTGTCCGACCATTCGGCGATTCCACAGTTCTAGGTATCCAGCGAAATGTGGGTTGGGCTAAGTACAAGTATAGTCTGTAGAATACAATGCTTACCTTAGATAGTCAGAACTAGCCGGAAAAGATGGGTTTTCTATTACGGAAATAACCCGATGCAGGCCTACCTCCCCACTGCCGCCTTCCTCAACCCAGAAAAAGGAGCTGCTATGAAGCGACCAAGTCAAGATCTGAAGTCTAATTGAGTTCTACATCTCACGGAAAAAGTGGCATGTCGCGAAGGTACGGTAGGAGCACCAGGCTCAGCATTTATGGTAAGTCTGCTCGGGTCCAACGACAGTGGCAGAGTTATTGCCATCTCCGAGCCCGAAGTGAAGGCAGTGAAGGACTGCTTAAATCTAATCTAATCATATATATACATTACAATACATTGAAGGAATACTCTGGTGTAGAACTTACGTCAATTGCGGCAACTTTTGCGATGGATAAATCGCTGAATTGCAACACGGGCAAAATGTAAATTTTCTCTGCTTCCCCTTATGTCTCAAACCCACTCCCCCCTCCTTGAAACTTCGGCCTTACTTGAAATGCAAGGATTAAAACTGTTGCCAAAGGTGTTGGAGGTGTTGCTGAAGCAAAGCAAGTCCATGCATGTTTGAATGGGCTTCAAACGCCTTGGTGTTCTAAAAGTGCATTTTGGTGTGGAATTAAAGGCTCAGTCCGTGACTGCCTGGAAATAGGTAATTAAGCTCGGAAATAAAAGTAGATGTAATTGAGCGACAATGGAAGAGGAAACAAAAACGGTAAAGCACCTGCAAAAGTGCATCGTACTTTGGCTAAAGGGGAGAAGTTTGCGTACTTCTCATTTTGTGTTGATGCGGTAAAGAGGGAAGGTCAAACTATTAGGAGACAACGGTCTACTTGCTCCTGCCACGAATGGCAGAGAGCACGGACGATTTGGGAACGGTGCCTCACTCGGCTCATAATTCCAAGGAAGGAGGTCGTATAACTTCGTAAGTGACGAGGCCTTGTAATAGGGAGAGGGACCCGTACCTCAAGTTAAGGGTATGTTAAGAGAAGCGCGTTCAAAGAATGGTGCCGTCACAAGAGTATTAACTCAAAGAGCAGCGTGTTTTAGAAACAACAAGCGTAGATTAAAAGTGAGAAAAGCTCACGATCCCACCTTCCGCATAGATCGAGAGGAGCGTCACTATTTACGTTTGCAAGCGGTTTTTCATATACGCAGGATTTTTATTCTTTCTTTCATTTACTGCAGCCGCCTAATACCGCATAGCCCTTCCCGAATTTTCTGGCGCAATAATCTGCTTTTGCAATTCGGCCAGGAATTCGTCAGAAATTTTACATATTTCTGAGCAGCCCCACATCGTCCAATACAGAATAGGGGTATCTAAAAGTTGGGAATCTTTTTTGTTTTGATGCTTACGTAGCAAATAGACCAATGAAATTGTGCCAGCAGAATTCAATCTATTGTATCACGTACACGATCATAGTGTAAATTACGGATTGGGCGATAGCATGTTTTTTTTTTTAAACGTGAAATCTGCATGTTGAAAATAACGCGGAAAACGCAAAGCAATTTTTATAGGAAATTGTCTTCAAAAGTTTGGAGAGTGCGCGAAATCTGAGAACAAATAATTTCGGCCAAAATAGCTCGTTCCGAATCCACATGGATAATATTAGTTATAAATTATAACCATAATCTTCCGTACACTTCCTATCCTCTAAACTCCGTGCACTGATCTTCTAAGTCCCTATTCTGTCGCTATCTTACCGATGTACTGCATTCAGGCCATGTCAGGTGTAATCACCTCCGCGTGTCTCGAAAGCCGAATCTTATGGCTTCGTCCCCATAGCTGCAACAGAATCTGTCCTTACTATGGGTACTTTTCTGGGGGCAACCTCGCTTGGCGGTGCGTACACGGAAGATAGTAGTGGTCCAGTTCCCTCCTGTCGTGTCATATACCTGACCGCCCATGTATCGCGTATCGCTGATCCTGTTCACAGCGGAGACATAGTCCTTGAGCGACTCCGCTACCGCTACGGCCATGCCATCCGGACTGCAACGTCGGTTGATGCCATTCTGTCAAAAGCAATTAGCTACACACAGTCTGGATGCTGGACCATAATCGACTGCCATTCACTGCTCTCTCACCACTACAACCGACGAGAAACCTTATCATTTATGAATGAATGTTTGTTGTCATCAATTCGCAGTATGATACCTATATCGCTTCAACGTCGAGTTCTGTATTCATTACAAAGCCCATACTAGACGTTTAGGGTGCAGCTGGGTTAGGTGGCCTGCACTCTACACAGATATCGAACGCCTTGTCAGGAATTGCACCACTTGCGCAGAAATCGCCAAGAATCCTGTGAAAACAGAACTTAGTTCCTGGCCGAAAGCGACCTCATCATGGACCAGAGTACATGCCGATTTCGCTGGACCACTTGATGGAATCTACTATCTAGTCGTCGTTGACGCATGCTCAAAGTGGCCAGAAGGTCGATGAGAACAATTGCACAATTTGGGAATCCCTACACACTGGTCACTAAGAACGGCACTCAATTCACTTCCGCGATGATTTTTGAATTCCTGCCGCTCAATCGTGGATCAGAGACATTCGCTCCCCTCCTTTCCACCCACAAAGCAACGGACAAACAACGTTCTTGTGGACACTTTCCAAACGAGGGCTCACTAAACTGAAAGAGGGACCATCAACCGAGAGCTTTACAAGACTTCCTCATGGCTTATCGCGCGACTCCTTGCCCATCTGCACCCAACCACTTGTCACCAGCCGAAAACTTTCTGGGACGGAAGCTTCGCAGCGATTTCTATCAAATGATGCCACAGACAACTGACAGAATATATAGGACCACGCGATGCCATTGGGGACCAATTAAATCGAAACAATGGATCACGACTACGTTACATTAAATTGGTGATGCTGTCTACGCAAAAGACACCGCGGAAGAAGATGCAAACTGATGCATGGACTGCAGGGCTCGTCATATCTTTATATATCAAGTACGCTGTGGAAATCTACTGTGGAATCGACATGTGAATCAACTGAAACCACGAGACCACACGCGCATGGCCGACCAACTGAAGGACGTGTTCGCCCTTACACCTGTAGCAAAAGCTACAGTTAATCAATTACGAAGTCTTCGATTTCTGTGAGTCACCGATCGGCTTATCACCGTTCGGATCTAAACGCACGTTTCCCATAAGCTTTAGCTTGAAAAGACACAATTTCTCAAAACATAGGGTTTGTTTCTCTTGTGAACATTTAGCTTTAGCTTGAAGAGACACAATTTCTCAAAATATAAGGTGACTATTTCTGTGACAATCATATTTTTTAGATTATGTTGTCCTGCTCGATAGCCGCATAAAAGGAGGTGATTCCAACGTCCGCCAGCTTTCTGCTACAACACCAAGTCGCGTCCGTCCAGCTCAACGGCCACAATTGGACCCGCTCAATCTGGGACAATATTCTTCAATATCGCGTAGGACAACGGTTCGGCTGATCAATATTAGTGGGACTATTTAGATTCAAATAAATAATTAATAAGTTGCCTTTGCTCAACTTTAAAGGTAACACCGCGTGGCGACTCGAAGAGTATCTTGGCGAGCAACCTTTATACAAACGCTATAACCTGTCGACCGAGCCTGCTACTCTTATGGAACAAACACCGCCGGATGCGGAGGTGAATTTAACGTGGATCCTACAAAGAAACCTTATATTTCTTTGTTGAAAAGGAGAGGTGTTACAGGGCTCGCCAGCCAGATACTCAATATCACTTCCGATGTTCTTGGTTCACTACTAAACAATTGTCGAAGCCTATATAAACATTTCCTCAAGTGGTCAATTCATTGCATTCGTTTTCGTGCCCAATAAGCCCTTATAATCCTTTATATGTACTTCTCCATAGCCTATAACGGAAATACCAATCGCACAATGGTACAGCCTAGCATTGTAATCTCTATATAAATTTTATAACGTATTCCTATACTAAAGGCGAATTTTCAACACCTACCATCTCTCGCAAACATTTACCTCCCTTATCAGGCCGTCTATTACCTTTCAACACGATAGTCGTCTACCGTATCTCATCTATACATATAATATGCCGTGAGACCGAACGCCCACTAACCTAGGTGAGTACATGCAGTGAATTTTGTGACTCACATGTCATACAGACACAAACAGGCGGATAGAAAACATCATAGCAACATGTCGACTGTCGTATCACATCGTTGGCAACAGTGAATGAGCAGCATAAAACCCTTCATAATTCTCCACCAGTTCTCGACTCTTGTTTATAATTATAAACTTTATGAGCTGTAGAGCATTAAAAAAGCTGTTTCCCACTTGAAAGTTATCATAACAGTCATCATCAACCAGTTTTTCAAGCAACCAGACTCAAAGAAATGCGCTTCAACGGCCAGCTTGATTGAATACCCGCAAGCGCTCGACTTTTGACTATGATCTTTTAGGAGTTTACTCAAAGAAGACAACGCGCAATACATAAGAAACTAGTCGCAAATGAAGTGCAAGTGTTCATTCCCAAATCATACGATCGTCCTTCGTTGACGACCTAACTAAGAACCGTTGACGGGAGACTCTCATTCAAATTCGTTGGCCGTGAATTTCCCTTTTCTTTAGTTATACGATCTGATGAGCTCACGCCAAGCCAAAGTAGTAGTTGCCTTTCTGAAATGGAATCCACAAAAAAAAATCGAGCATCAGCTATACCACAGCAACGAGCCGCTGATATTTATTTATTTTTTGATATGATTTCTGCTTCTGGTACTATTAGGTTTTCTGAGAAGTTGAAGCCGAAGAAGCCCTTCATCGACTCTAAATTTCGAATGCACGTGTCTTTGCTTGAACGAAACATTCTAGATCAAAAAGAAGGACCGCCAGAATCGAAATTTTTTACAATAACATACCGTTTCTCGAGCCGTTGGTTTTAGAAGCGGTATAAAAAAAAGAACCGGTGAAACGTCTCAGCATACTGTCGAGTTTTGGAAAGTTTACATCAAGATTGCCAAAAAGTCTACTAAATAAAATTTGCCTCATTCTGTAGCCTAGCTGGTTCACCTTTGTGGCAGGTTGCTGTAAAAGCTCAAAGAGCCAGGCATTTCAAATATGTCAGTCCTTTTATGATAAAGAATGCTGTCGTTATGTGTTATGGTTTTTGGTGCAGATATTCTGACTGACTGTTCAGTACCTTCCGGCCGTACAGTTCCACCTTTACCAGAGACTAGCTCAACGCTTATCTTTGAGTTAACAAAGCATTTCAGTTTTGAGCATTGTAAAGTTGGTCGTTCGATCAAGCAACGCTTCGCATGCGTATAAACCACTTCCAGACCCTATGACATCTACCATCTGCTTGCAAAAGCGACATTACCTAAAACGCCCAATCTGTGGGAGTGTTCCCAATCAATCTGTGAATTGTTAGTTAACTATAATTGATGATCTTACGCAGTTATAAAAATACTAGTTTTGCTCCGCCCGCTATCGCGCGCATCACACGGCAGGCTTTAGTGAAGCTGAAAGACCCATGGTAGTGAAACTGAAAGACCCGTGGATTATCAGCATGAGGTCCTCCATTAGCCACCTCACTATAGAATGTGTTAGAACCTTCCCAAGTTTCGCTGATGTCCATCGAGAATGATAACGTCCTGGAGCTGAACTGGCATAATTATCTCACAACTGTAAACATCCGCGATTGTCTTCTCGAATTCAACCATTCGGTTGAATAAGAATTGCTGTCAGTCTTCCACATTATTTACATTCACCACCCCTACTATATATAAGCGGCTAGCGTGTGTCTGTTGTGTGTGTTTGACCGGAAATTCATAGCTCGAGTCACAGTAATGATAGCGCAGTGGTTCTTACATATGTTATAGGGGGTGGGATGGGGACACAAGTGGTACGTGATAGGAACTGATAACGACTGATAATAGCTGATAAGAGGGGCTAGAAAGCGAGCATCGCCAATTTCGTTTTGTCGTTCATATTGGTACTAGAGCGTCTATACTTACAAGTCTTATGTGGGGCGGTCCCGGGACATTGGTGGTACATGATTGGAAGCGATAGCAACTGATAAGGGCTGATAAGATGCGCTAGAACGCAAAAGTCGTCGATTCCGTTGCCTGGCTCGCGTTGACACCAGAGCAACCATACTTACAAGTGTTATGTGGGGTGGGACGGGGACATTGTTGGTGAGTGCCAGGAACTGATAACGATAACTAAGGTCTATAAGCCCCTCTCACAATCCATCATAACGTCTGTCGGCTGTCCGTTGCCTGACCGTGTGACTGACCAAGAGCACCATTACTTTATAATGTTATTGGGTGGGACGGGACACTGGTGGTGGGTGCCAGAAACTGATAACGATTGATAAGGGCCGATAAGGCGCGCCAGAACGCAAAGTCGTCGTTATTTCGTTACGCAGCGTTGACACTAGAGCGTTCCTACTTACAAATTGTAGTAAGTCGTAGTAGTACAAACAAAGGTACGTGCACATTATTTCGATATATATCCAGCTTACTTAATAGCAGTCGATTGCATAAATTCAATCAAGTCTTCAGCAAATGATAAGTTTCATTTCTATCACGAAAGCCCAGACTCATTAAACCGCTAATCCTTTCAGGGTTCTAAATAATGGTAAAAGTAAATAAATGATAAGCCTTAGCTCCTCACTTATGTAAATAGGCATATTTCGTTTTAATTCTGAGATTGACAGTAATCCTATTCACCGCTAAATTATCTTAATTCAAGAAAAATGCTGGATGTTTACAGAGTTGTGATCAATATACCAGTTCAGCTCAGACGTTATCACGCGTATTCTTCGATGAGCTTCAGTGAAACTGTGGAGGGTCTAACACAGTCATATGGAAATGGTTAATGGATATTTTGTCTGTGCCAGTGGGAGCGTATATCTCATCTGATTTATTCCATGGTCTTCGCAAATTTCGTCTAAGCGGCCTTGTTTGCCGCGCGGTGCGAAAAACAAAACGGTATTTAAACCCCGAAAGGATCAACGTCATACATATGACATAATGACCACATACCAACTTTACAACAATTAGAATTTGGTAATTGGGACTTGCTACAGCGTCAGCACAACGGATCGGACGCTTTTCGTCTGATGCGCCTTATCACCCCTTATAATCGCAATCCCGCCCCCCCCCTTTACTTTCAATCACACACCACTCTGCAATGTTTTCCACCCCACATGACACCTGCGAGTATGGACGCTCTAGTGTCAACTGGAGTTACTTGACAGAATTGACGACTTTTGCGTTCTGATGCCCCTTATCACCCCTTATCAGTTGATCCCTTTCAATCACCCACCAACAATGTCCCAGTCCCATCCCTCATAACACTTGTAAGTATGGATTTCTGGTGTCAACGCGAGCCAGCTAATGGAACTGACGACTTTTGCGTTCTGACGCCTTATCACCCCTTATGCCAGTTTGCTATTATCCGTTCAATCACCCACCTACAATGTTCCCGTCCCACCCCACATGACGCCTGCGAGTAGGGACGCTCTAGTGTCAACTGGAGTTACTTGACAGAATTGACGACTTCTGCGTTCTGATGCCCTTATCACCCCTTATCAGGTTGTGATCCTTTCAATCACCCACCTACAATGTTCCCCGTCCCATCCCACATATCTCTTGTAAGTGTGGGTGCTCTGATGTCAACGCGAGCTGGGTAACGGAATCGACGACTTTTGCGATCTAAAGCATCTTATCAGCCCTTATCAGTTGCTATCGCTTTGATTCATGTACCACCAATGTTCCGGGACCACCCCACATAACACTTGTAAGTATAGACGCTCTAGTACCAATATGAACGACAAAACGAAATTGGCGATGCTCGCTTTCTAGCCCCTCTTATCAGCTATTATCAGTCGTTATCAGTTCCTATCACGTACCACTTGTGTCCCCATCCCACCCCCTATAACATATGTAAGAACCATGGCGCTATCATTGCTGTGACCCGAGCTACGAATTTCCGGTCAAACACACACACAACCACACACACACACACACACACACACACACACACACACACACACACACACACACAACACACACACACAAACACACACACACACACACCACAAACA